TCCTGACAACCAAAACATCTCAAAGACTTAAGTTCAGCATTAATTAACAGTAAATAAATCTGACAGAAAAAGTAAAAAAAAGTTCACTTTTAATAACTGCTGCTGCTGATGAGTAATATAGGACTATAGCACACACACACACACACACACACACACACACACACACACACACACACACATCTCGTTTGTGAGTGATTACATTATATCTGCTCACTAATGATGCTGGTGAGTTTCGTGTTTCCTCCTGGATAAAACTGATAGGAAACCGTACCTGCCCCAACACTTTAATGCTGTTAAAGCAGCGTAGGAGACGCTCATCCACTCCCTGCTTTCATTTAGCTGGGGATGAGCTATAGGAAGTGGGGGGGGGGGGGGGGGGGGGGGGGGGGGGGGGGGGGGGGGGGGGGGGGGCTGCGGGGAGGGTAGACATCGTTATCAGGTATTATTATCAGATGGCCAATGTGTATAGTTTAGATTACGGAAGAGGAGCGGGTGGGTTGGGGGTCTTAATGTTGTGACAACAGAGTAGGAGTGAATTAGACAGGGCCATAACCTCCAGGCTGATAAAAGTGCTCATAATTGAATGCCATTCAGTTGTACAGACACTAGTTAAACAACCAGCACAGTCAGAAGAGAAGAGAAGAGGAGAGAAGACAAGAGAAGACAAGAGAAGAAAAGAGAAGAGACATTTGACCACATTTATAAACATATATCTGTTTTTTACAAAAAATATTTGCAATTGATTTAAAATGTTTTTTGGAAAGTTCCACACCCAACCTTCTAAATGTAGAATTTAAAAGTTCAAAGACAACTTGTTTGTTTTCCAGAAATCAGACACGTTTCTGGGACTGATGTTTATCAGTGTGTGCTATTTGGTGCAGATCCAAATTCAAAATCCAGATCTAGTGAATATTACAGTGGTTTCACAAAGGGACTGGTGAGCCTTGGCGGAGGTATGAGCTCTCTGAGTGAGTTTTCACCTGCGTTTGTTTGTCTGTCTGTTAGTCCGCAGGATTAATCAAAACCTACTGAACCTATGTCTATGGCATTTTGTGTCAGTGTTGGACAAGACCCGAGGAAGAAGAAGTCTCTTGTTGAAGCAGATCTGGAGGTTTAGCACTTCTCCAAGCATCCATCCAGTTTTATCATATGATATGTTGGCCTAAAAGATTTTACAACAACATAAAAACAGTTGTTGTAAAATCAACCAGAGGAGATGTGTGTCATGTTACCGCCCTTACTCGTGGAGCAAAACCTGGAATGTCTAGTTTCACTTTCACGACAGGTCATGACGACAGGGAATAAACAGTAAATACCTACTCAATGATCTTTGCATGTTGCATGTTGGGTAAAGGTCTACGTCACACACAGTTGGCCAAGAATCTCAGTGAACGTTTCCACTCTTGACCTCTGTAAAGTCAAATTCTGCCATTGTTCCTTAAAAAACTGCTGCATTGGGAAACCGGCTCTTTCTGTGGCAGTTCAGCTGCATGAACTTTTCTTCTTGTGTAAATCTTATCCTGCTAAATCAAGAAAAACAAATCACCCTGCACCTGCGTCTTGTCATTAAGGAACCATGATTATACCATTTATTGGATTTCAGTGCCACTGGAGGACGGCTGGAAAACCACAACACTGGCATTAAGCAGAACTCGATCCGGCTGTCTTTGCGCTCTTTAGCGGGTTTTAATTGGTGGGGAACAGGAGAGAGGCGCGTGGCGAAAACATCATTACAGGCTTAAACTACCACAACAGGGTATTGCTAAGATTTAATTACACCACGCTATTGTTCAATTTGCCTCTCAATCTCTCAATTAAGTAAAAAAGGGAGCGAGAGGGTTCAGGTTTCACGCTCATCTGGGCACGAGAGGGGAGAGTTTCCCCTGTGAAGTTCATATAACATCACAGCGGAGTTCAAATGGATTTGTCATTGTTTGACTAATGACAGGGAAGAAGAATAAACCCTATTAGAAAATCATCAAGAATCCCTCTGTCACTACTGATCGTCGTTGTGTGTGTTGTGTTTCTGCTGTAGAGAAGCCTCGGAGCTGATGCTGATGTGTTTACTGTTATATTGAATTGTGCAGATGATGTGATCTGAGGATCCAAAAATAGGAAGAATCTCTCCCTCTCTCCAGAATAAAGAAATGTACAGAAACTCTGAGACACAATTTCCCTTATTAGTTTTCTAGTCATTCAATCTCCATCTGTTTTTTCCCACAAATAATATTCTTTCATTTGCATACAAAGAAACATAAGGGGAGTAATAAAGAAACTTTTAACTGCAGTGATGGGAAAAGATGGAGGGTGGAAGACTCAGTATCCTCAGCCACCCAGGTCACTTCATTCGTGTTGTGAGTGAAGTTTAAGCTGCGTTCCATTTTTTCTTTTTTATAAAACAAGATTCTGAATCATGGAACCTTGTCATTACTTCAAATACATTGATTACATTGGCAACATGAGAAAACATTTCCACCTACATAAGATAAGATAAGATAAGATACGATAAGATCGACTTTATTCATCCCACACTGGGGAAATTTCAACATTACAGCAGCAGAAGGGCATTAGGACAGA